AATAGTTTTTAAAATAATTTTCTTTCTATTTTTTTAGGTGTTTGTAGTGCTTCTTTATGGTAATACAGTAAATATAAAGTGTTTCAAGGCACAGAAACTATTTGTGTCTTTATTTGTGCTTCTCAGCCAGTTATCCAGAGCTTATACTAATTCTCCATCGGCCTTTTCTAGAAAATCAATTTAACACTTTTGACACTTTGCCAGTGAACCGACTCTTCCATGAAAATCCTGGTTGCTTACAGGGCACTAAGCCTCACCCATTTGGATCCCTTTATACCATTCTAGTCATAAAAAGTCACCTTTGCCCCCCAGGTTTGGTAGTCTTAAAACTCTAGAAGGTGAAACAGATCTCACAGAATTTGGAAGTCTTCAGCCTGCTGTTTCTAGCTCATATTTATCTGATTCGTGTCCTTTTTGGGGCCTGAAGCAAAGCCCGGTGAAGCTGGCAGGAGTTTTTGCTGTGTACGGGGTTAGACCTCATGCCTCCAGTGAGGACTGGGCTATTGAGGAGACCCTTGCAGTATCCCAAGTCAATGAGTTATTAACAGGCTGATGACATGAATGTTCACAGCTTTAAATCACTTCTTCTTTGAGAACATTTAAATAACTGCATTTTTGTTGAAGGAATTATTGACTTTAAAACAAAAAGCCTGCCGGAAACCCTTATGTTGTTAATCGCAAAAGATGGGTCTGCTGTGGTTTTCCATGCTGATGATCGTATATGGAATTCTAGGTGACCAGCAGATCTGATTTTATAATCATGTGTGAGGAGTTTAGACTGAGTATTACTTGTAATTCTGTCATTTATCTGTACTGTTTCTTTATTAGTGTCTTCAGTGTTCTTGGTCTGTCCTCAATCTTTCACGTTTTGTACTGATGCTTCATTACAGTATTTTTCCAAATTTTTGAAGTAAAAGTCTTTCAAGATGAACAACAATCCTTCTTTGGGAACTGACTGAAAGCCAAGTTATGTTTATTCATATAGCTATTGCCTTACACATCCCCTCTTCAGAAATCACTGTTCTATTGTATGTTATTGCTTTCTCATCCCTACGTGCCTTGATGAGTAGTAAAATACAGTGTTGACATTTAAAGTATCATCACTGGCATGGTTGATGGGTGAGTGAGTGCCTGACTGAGAGAGTTTTCTCCTCAGAGGTGATATTTTTTCGGGCTCTCTGCAAATTCAGGCTCTAGTGATGGGGGTTTTTTGTATTGGTTACACCTGACGCACATTTTTGAGCTTTGCTTTGCAAACGTAGATGGGGCTGCTCTTTTCCTTCTAGTCACTATTGTCCATGCCCGTCCCGTGTCTTGTCGTTCAGCCGCCTCAAAAGGTTTGTGCAGCACTTTGTAAATAACATTTAAGTACATCACAGGAGTTAAATATGAAAAAATGTCAGTCGGGGCTTGCACGGCCTTTACAGGCCAGTCGCAGACTGTCACCTAGGGTGTATTATCAGCTTGGATAAGTTTCCCATATTTTAGGTTCACAGTTTGTCACTACATTGTTATTTTCATTGCTATGTCTTTGATCTCAGAAAAAGCTCTGCACTCGTCGAGGAGTCTGTTGACACAGTCCCCTTTGCCCACGTGGGCCTTTGAGCTCATTACGGGGTGAAGGAAGGATCATGAAAGCAGAGCTTCAGAAAACATTGTAGTTGCCAAATAACATAGCATTTATAAAGCTCTTCTGTGTCTTACTGTGGGCCTCTGCTTCATATCTGAGCTTTCAAAGATGACTGTCCACACCATTCTTTCATTGATGTAGCTGTGACAATACAAAAATATTAGCAGTACTTGACGCCGTGTCAGCGTAGAGGAATCCATGCCACGTCGGAACTGCAATACAAGCAGAAAGTAGATAGACCCTTTTCTCTGAGGTTACTGTCTGAAGGTCTAGGCTACAGAAGGCAAGTGGATACAGAGAGATGGGGAAGCGGAAAGAAATGAAATTATGAGCGCTTATTGCCTACCATTGCTGCTGACAGCTTTAGGTAGGATTCCCTTCTGAAATCTGCTGTAGTTCTTCCAGCTTGGTCAGCAATCCCTGGTTGGTTCCGAAGTCTCTTTGCTGGCAGCCGAGGTGCCAGAGGACCCTGCCCTGTTCTTCAGATGTTTTTGTCTGGTGCTAGTGTCAGGGAGGCCCAGCTGTGTGGTGCTAGGCTGTATACACACATCAGCACAAGACAGTCGCTGCCTGAAAGCACAAGTCTAGTAAAGTATAATGAAGACCACTGAATGCACGTGTTTTGAAGTTGCGTAGCGGCTGTTCACATGAAAGCTGGTAGTAAAATATGCACTGCATCAGTGCTGTCCCAAACCACCAGCAGTCTGTTAAGTTTAACACACCGTCGCAGTCAGTCCCATTACAGCACGAGAGGGCTGAGATGGTTTTCCCTTCTAGTCCGTGTGGTAAGGGAACTTCTGTTACTCATATTTATCAAGAGATACTTTTACAGTAAAAGTTATGGACAGTTGAAAGCATATCAGGAAGCAATACCTTGAGTTTTCATATGGGTTACAAATGGTATTTCCAATTCTGTACACAAATTCAAGTATGTTTATAAAAGAAGTTTTTTGTGGTACAAACGGGTATTTCTGAATCTGTGCCTGTCCCTTTTTCTAAACTGGCATAATTTTATGAGAAGAACTATGTATACATCCTTGACTTGTTATTTGTTAGAAAACTCAAAATCTTAATGGTTGGCATTGGAGAAAAGGGTCAAGATACAGGCAAAGTTCCTCTGTATTAGAGAAGATAAAAAAGGGGAAATATATATGCTTCTGGTTATGCTAATTCATGGCTCCAAGCAGGGTGTGATTGCATTCTGTCTAGTCAGTTCTTTTGTTCGTATTTTAAAGAAGAGATATAGCCAAAGTAAAGGGCATCTGGAGATGGACAAAGGAAATAATTGAGTCACAGAGAGTCTTCTGTTTGAGGAGGGATGGGAAAGATAGGGATTGTTTTAATTTAAAGAAGAGACAAGTAAGAGAGGACGTGACAGTAGTGTACAGAATGATGAATGATACAGAGAAGGTGAATTGGGCGCTCTTGCTTGCCCTTTCATCAGTACAGAAATGGAGGGACATTCAATAAAGCTGAAAGGTGAAAATAATAACACTGTTTAAAGGGAATTTTCAAACAGTTACTACCTTGTTTCCACACACTCATCTTGTTTCTCCATGATGCTAGAACATATATTGAGGGGGATGCCAAAGACCTATAGAAAATGAATTCAGGTTGCCCTCTTGAGATGATGTTGTGGGTGTACTGCAAAGACTACTGACTGAATCAGGTTATATGGCTTGTATGAAGGAGAAGAACTAGTCAGATAGCCTTAATGATTCTTTTTAGCCTTAAAAATAAGTGGAAGTTGCATGAGATACTAATACATGTAATGAGACTATCTATACGTTTGCTAGACAAAGTAAAAAAAGTAAATGTTCAAGGAAGAAATCTATTATTGATGGAAAGCATATTGCTTTGCAGTCCCCCATGTGATTTTTTTTGCATGTCTCCCTGAATATCTGCTTGTGACCCTTTTATAAAAGGCTGATGTTCTGCCACATTGGTTCAGGGCTCTACTGTCAGGACCAAGCAGACTTCAGTCCTTGAGGAGGTTGTAGGAAATACGTTTATTCTTCCTGAACATTCTTTTCTGCTATTCTCTTGCTTTTGGGCATTCCATTTATTATTCATCTTTAATTAATAAGTTTGTATCAAGATTCAGAAGAAAATTTATTTTGATCAGTAGATTCTAGGGAACTTCAATAAATATAATAATTTCGATATGTATCTCTTCCCCCACCCCTTCTTAGTTAACAAGGGGATGGTGAGACATGCAAATGGCTTATAAGTAAGCGTGATCACTTTCTGGCTAGATTATTACAATATCTGTTTAGATCCATTGTTGCTTTCAGACTTGATCCCTGACACTCTTTTTGTAGATTTTATTTTATAATTTCGCAACATACGGTGTTATTTTGTGTAGTAAACCCAAACCCACCTGTGGTGATCATCGCTTCAAAGTCTCGTTCCTGCAGTCATTTTGAGTGCTGTGCCTGCCTCATTTCTAATGTCTGTGTCTAGTCTGTTGTGGTGATGTCTGTGTAGTGATTAAGACCTGGACCACGTCTGCAAGATAGCCTTTCCTTTCCTGCCTCAGTTTCCCTCACCTTACAATGGATGAAACACCTCACAGATTCTGGATGAAAACCACTCACTATGATATAGGGAAAATTGCATTTTTAGTAGTGTTTCATCATGCCTTGTAATTAGGGCTTTGTTTCTCACTGATCTTAGAGACATTATGAGTGCATTTGCTGACATTCTCAGTATTAAACTTTGTGCAACTATCGAGCGTTTAAAGTATTTACTATTCAACAGGAAGAGATGTATTTTATGAGTCATGTAAAGTATATCATATGTAGAAGTTTGTAGGAGGAGATACATATTTGTGTGTTTGTGTGTGTACATATGTGCTATGTATATAAACTGTACAGTTAAGAATGTATTTGCCTGCCCCTGCAGTCCAGCTGCCTCTGAAACAGTTATGGACTTTATCTTGGCAGCCCTGAAATACGAAGCTACAACATGGTGAAGAACAGTTTAGCTATGTGAAATCACAGAGAAAATTTAGTTCTAAATGTAATTACCTAGTCAGAGGTATGCAAATTCTGTGTCTGAACTTAAGTGAAAAGCAGCAGTCTAAATTTTTGGCATTTGTCAAAAGCCCTCCAAAAACCATCTAGGCTGCAGGCTAAGCTGCCTTTCATAAATCTCAGCTGAAGACTTGCTGCTGACTTTTTAAGACTAAATTATTTCTGTTGTTCTCAAGTAATTACATTTTTGTTGTTATCTGTAGAAAGAGCCCCACTGGTTTGACCATGTAAGTATATGGGGGTGGGGGAAGGAGGATTTGTGTTAGTTAAGTGGAGATGATAAAGCTGAAAACATAGCAGCAGGACATAAATCAGATTTTTTTTTCTTTTTCTAGTTGGCTCGTCACAATAAAACATTGCAACAGATGCTGAAGCCAGGGTCAGATCCAGATGAAGGAGATGAAGCCTTGAGGTATTACGCCAATCATACGGCACAGATAGAGGTAAAGAATTGCTCACTAGAAGATTGAATATGAGACAAGTTTGCATCTTGTGCATGGTATATTGCCTCCTTTTAAGCTTCTGAACAGCAAAGCTTATTCAAATGGTGTAGATTATTTATGAGAAGGAGAAGGTTGAATAATATGCTTTTGGCTATGGGAAAAAAAGGAATGCACCTGTATTAAAAGTGGCTCCAAATAATCATTTTACAGTAGCTTTCCTGTGTGTTACCAAACATGTTTTGTTAGGGAAATAATGACTGTGGATAGTAGCTGTGTCATGAAGTCAAGAATAATCTTGTATGGTACATCACTCAAATAAATAATCATGAGTTTCAAAGCCACTGATGCTAACTGATCAAATTAAAAGTTTGGCTGGAGTACAAAGAGGTTTTGAAGTGGTGTAGACATTCAGTATGGCTTTTGTTCAAAAGACCAAGGCTTGGCTTGGTTCATCAGTTCTGTTCTCTATTTTAAACTTTACCCCTGCCATGGATTGGATTTAGATCAAGATCCACAGAGGTATTTAGGTTATTAACTCTTTTATCAGATCCTGTGCTCTTACAGATTTCGTGGGATTATAGGCATCAAGATAGGAGTTAGGCACTGTAGTATCTCTAGTCGTTAGTGACTTCATAAGGATGAGAATTTCTGTGGTGCAAAGATGGCTGCTGCAAGAGACTGCAGGAAGAAGAGGCATCTGGCTCTCTCTTGGAAATGCTGTGTCAAGTCCAAAATTGTCCAAGTAGGAAAACTGCACAGTATGGTTGCACACAGGCTCAGCCTGAACCTGAACCAGTAGTTTCACCTTCAGTGGGCTCCCAGGCTCCATCAACATTGGACCTGAGCTTGTGTGTGTAGGGAGCCGTCTAGTGCAAGCTCCTCAGGTCCATATTGTCGTGGCTGCCATCAAGACAGGCCATGGCTAGGTCCTTCTCTGCTTCCCACCATCCTTTTTGCTTGATACTGGTCACATTATCCCACCACAGGACGGATGGAAGCTCCATGGCTGTGGTTGTCCAGAAGGCAGCTCAGTGTTCCACTTAACATATTTTAATACTTTGGGTGCTCCTGAGGTATCTCTTAGCAATTATAAGCCGAGTTGCCTGGGTAGGTTGTAAATTTAGGCGTGAAACAAGCACTGTGATCTGCTTTTGTGAGGCCAATAGTTTCTTCCTGGTGTCGTTTCTGAAATCTCCTAAAACCTCATGGCTGCAAAGCCTGTTCCTCAAGCAGATATGGAGGCCTTTGTTCTCAGGGAGGCTTTTTAAATGTCATTCTGCAAAGCAGCACATACAGCCTACCTCTTCATTTGAGTCCTTGACGGAATTGAAGATGTGCCGTCAGCTTCCTTTACTCGCCCTACCAGGTTAGCTGCTAGTCACGTAGTCCCGTTGCACAACTGCTGGCCTGAGACAGAACTATTCACTTAGGACACTTCAAAATAGTCTATTCAAATTTCACATAGTGCACATGCCCATGGGCAGACAATTATCCTTCGTCTCTAACACAAATGTGCTTGAATATGTTACTCTTAGAAATGGCTCAAAATGGGTGGTTTTAAAGTATGTTCACATAATAAATATGAATTAACAGAGAGAAAGGAGGGTTCTTGAATGCAGGACTGTCACTGGAAAAATGAAGCTCAACCCAGCATTGCTGCTACATCAAATGGATGTTCGCTGGTCTTTCACTAAAAGCAGTCCTGGACCTGTTTGGCATTTCAGATACAGCACCTCTATATCAGGGTATCTCATTTGTTTGATTTGAAAGTCAAATTGTGGGTTCTTTTTCACTGGTGGCTGTACAGAGACGTCGATCTAAGAGTCAAGATGAGTTTTCTAACCATTCCTCTATTATTAGTAATGTAGAGTCCATGAGTAGAGTGGAGAAGCAATTTTGATGACAGTGTAGGGAGATGGAATAAAATCTAGCTCACTCGATGGTAACTCGGTAGGCCCTGAAATACAAACAACGCAAAACCTTGGGTTTTGCCAAGTAAGCAGGTAAAGGCTGACAAGATATGGGTGCTGTCTAAGGAACAAGGTGCTATTTTTGCATGTTCACCTTCACAACTTATCTCATCATAGAAATAAAGTCAAGGTGAGAAAAGAATTTTGTAATCCGAGCAGAAAGCCCCTGAACTTCTGCACTGTTTACTGGGAGAGATTCCTTTCAATTTATTGCAAAATTGAAGCATTGTGCATCAGAACATTTTTTATATTTGGGGGAATTTTGGGCCTAGGTTTTGCTTGAGACATGTATTTGCCACCTTATTTTTAGGCAGGCTTTTGAGGATAGAAAAGCAGCTTTACTTTGTTTTAGGATAGATTGGTTCAACTTCATTGTAATGTTCAAATAATTTATGCAATAATTTATAAATAAAAGGGGTGCTGTGAACAAGAAAAGATATGGCAAAACGGTTGGAAAGTCACTGATCTGAAAAAAATGTGCATTTTATTTATAGATTGTTCGCCACGATAGAACAATGGAACAAATAGTCTTCCCTGTCCCCAATATTTGTGAATTCCTCACTCGGGAATCCAAAAGTCGGGTGTTCAATACAACAGAGAGAGATGAACAAGGGAGCAAAGTCAATGACTTTTTCCAACAGACAGAGGATCTGTACAACGAGATGAAATGGCAAAAGAAAATTAGGAGTAAGTATTGCAACTTCAAAAAATAGCTTAATTATGCTAAAACCCTGCTTTTTAAGCCTTCAATTTTCTTCATTTTAATAATACACTTTTCTCTGTTCACTCTGATACTGCAACGGACAAAACTGTTTGGGGCTTGAGAGTGTCGGTCAGCAGAGTGTAGGGCAGCCGAGACACTTGCATGCCACCATAAAAGAGACATACTGTAGAGCAGTTAGTAATGTCAGTAATGTGTTCAAGATGATGTTTGGACTCCAAAAGTTAAATTGAGGGATGGATGAACTGGGTGTAGTTCCACTAAACTCAATAGAGTTGCACCTAATTAAGCCAAGGCCCCTAATATTTAACAAAACCATATGTAGTTGCATATTTGAGGTTTTCAGATTCCTAAAAGACCATTAAAAAACTTGTAAATGTCAGTCACTTAAAAACATCTCTCACCAGAACCTCAGCTGCTTTAAATCTGCCCGACTCCCATGGAGTCAGTTCTTCTCTGCCAGTTCACATCAGCCTTGCTCGACGAGGTTGCAGTATGCCCAGTCTGGAAGCCCATACTGGTATTAGTCCCAGGGTAGTGGGTCGAGGCGTTACGTACCACCTTCAGCTGCTGGCGGCTTGCAGATCTGACAGGCAGGGTCAAGATCATGACAAGGCTGCAAGCTAATGAAGCATCTACAGTATCCTTGAGGGATAAGGAAGAAAGTTACATGTTATATACATATATATATATAAAAATACACAAGAGTGATCACTTCGGTCACTGCTAAAAAGCAGATGCTGCTGGGGTGGCAGACGTCAGCTGTTTAACAGCTCACAGCAGCGTTACGCAATTGATTAGGAAGGAAGTGAAGAATAGGAGCTATGGTCAGAGCAGCGGGGAGTTTGGGTAGTCAAAGCAAGATGGTTTAATGTAGCATCCTTAATGTGATGGTAGCATGAATGTGGGTTGCAGTTTTTAGAAATGTCAATTCCCGAGCTATAATTTTCAGAGGCAGTGGTAAGTTTTCAGTGTGAATCCTATCGGCCCAGGTCCGCCTCCCTTGGTGGCACTGTGAGAACTTGCCTGTACTGACAAACTGACCAGAATTGAAGTTGAAAAATAACTGGTTCCAGAATAACTCCCTATCTGCACAGTCTATTTGGGAATAAAAGTCATTATATTGTAGACAAATTACTCTAGTAACAAAATCATATCTGCGGTTTTTGCTTAAGAACACGAATAAAAGAGCCCAACCCTACTTACATAGACCAGATCTGCCTAATGCTATAAGCAAAAAAAATAGGCTTACTTTTATTCAGAACAGAAATTCCTCAATTCCTTTCATCAGTGGAATGGCCCACAAATTCCCATGTGCTTTTTTTATTTGAAAAGATAATACAGGTTGGGGCTCAGTTCATTGTTTAGGCCAAGTGTCTGTTAGCGTGCAGTCTGTATTGCTTAGATTGACACGTGTCATTTGCAATGGCTCCAAATGCTTAAATCTCAGCAGCCAACAGCATAAGGTTATCACAGTGAAATCTGAATATTTACCTAATCACAATTAAAGTCTATTTAGACTAAAGCCTGAGACAGTCATATGCAGTTGAAGGAGTCTGCTGTTTATAAAAAGTTAGCTGGGTGCAGGCAAGTCACGGATATCCTCTGCATGCTTGCAGGAGGCTCTCAGTACTTTAAAATCTAATTAATAGGAATACATCATCTTCAAATAAACGTCTCTGGCTAGAAATTTTTTCACACCGTTGCACATAGAGTCTTGTTTTAAACGTTCATTTGAACATATTCTAGTGCAGTCATATATATGAAGTCCTTGCCTGGGTCTTAGTACCCTCTGAGCTTGTTCCTAGCCTTTTTGCTGAATCGTGTATGCGACTCTGGACACAAAATCTTAACCCTGTTTTGCCCTTAGTTCCTTTTTAGTCTTTTCTAACTAGGTCTTAAGTTCTTTGGGCTATAGACTATTTCTGTGTATTTGTACAGCACTTCACATATGGAGAGCCTGGTTTCGTTTGAGTCCTTTTAAGCTGGAGTACAGAGCTGTTTATCAGCAGGTGACCTTGGACGTCTGAGGATCATGCAGGAAGCAGTCAGCTTTCATAGAATCAAATTCCAGTCAGACCAAATTTTACCTGCTCCCCAGAGCAGATCAAGATGTATTTAGTTTGACAGAAGTGGGGAAAATACCACCGTTCTGCAAGCTTGCCTATTTCAGTGTTCTTTGAATAACGTCATCAGTGTACTTGGTCCAAATGAGTCATTTGGATGACCCGTTCTGGGCCTTCTGGTTGACTGGGATGCAGAGTGCTGAAGTGTATTTCCTTGCTTGACTTCGTGCACAGAGGCTACAGTTTCAGAGGCAGGTGAGAAGACCCCTTCACAGAATATCCACTCCTACAAGCTTAGCAGAGGCAAAAACCCTGATGTATAATAAACTGTATTGGGATCTTTGGATTAAAGGCTTTGCTTGAAACTATGTTTTATGGAAAACCTGTGTTTAATATTTGCCTATTTTAAAAGGTCTGCAAGATCTTTCTTTTTTTTTTTTTATTTAAAAAAGAAAATATTTTCTGCTGTTTTCTTCATTCATCTGTATTTTTGTTAATTCCCTTGAGACCATTACTGATTGAGTTCCTGCCTGCTTTAATTTCATTAATTGTTGCTCCTCTCCCCTTTCTAGATAATCCACCCCTGTTTTGGTTCTCCAGACACATCTCTCTCTGGGGGAGCATTTCCTTCAACCTTGCTGTATTCATCAATTTAGCAGTTGCTCTCTTCTACCCGTTTGGAGATGATGGAGATGAAGGCAAGTGGAGGTTTTTTTTATTTTTCCTTTTAATTTTAGATACTTTCAGTTCTAAATTAACACAGTTACATAAAACTTGCGCCTTCAGGTATGCTCATATCTGCAGAAGCCATTTAGCGTCTTCTAAGTAGGTACCAGATGTTGTCTGAAATGTCGTAGTTGATATTCTGTGCGTCACATGTCCCATGCAGTGCCAAGTAAAATGGACAGAAAGTAATTGCTGAACTGCAGATCATCTAGATGATCTGAGCTAATTCTTTTCCTTTCTTTTTTAATATTGCCATATTGCAGTGTATTACTGCACACATTCAGTTACAGCTTCTGAGCTAAAGAGGGATTCCTGGTGGCAGACGGACTGAGATTCCTTAAAACTGACCAATATGAATGACTTGAGTCTTAAAAACATATGGAATAGAATAATTTGAAAACCAGCTTGTTGGGTTTTGACTGTTTTGTTTATAGGGATAAAAGGACATAACTGTTGCAGGGGATAAATGCATTATATAAAAATATGTTTAGAATCTATGATTCTGTCTCTGCTTCGTCACATGTCACAGGAAATCTGGCAAATAATAAATTTCATTAAATAAATGCAGCAGACTAATGGGAGGCCTCTTTGAATCCAAAACAAGCTTAATTGGGATAAAGGAGACTAAATAGTTCAGAATACTGGTAATGGGAGTGGAGCCATTCACCTCTGGGTCTTTGATTCGTGTCCAGTGCAGTCAGTAATGTGACTGAAAGTCACCTCTGTCTGATGGCATGTGAGCTGGGCTGGTGGAAGCAGTCCAGCTTCTAGTAGATACATGTGCTTTTCACAAACACCAGAGTTGGCACCAGCAAACATTCCTGTTGGCTGGCTAAACAGAAAGGCAGCAGATTAAAGTATATTGGCATGGAGACCACGCTGCCCTTTCGCCCTGCGGGGTGGTCTCTGCAGGTCACAGCACGGGCATCTCCGCAGCCTCGCGAAGCAAAGTTTGCAGGGCTGTGCTGTGTAAAAGGGAAGCGGTTGTACGTGGTGCTTTGCTGTTTGTAAACTGAAGAGTCACTCGGCGTGCACCCGCCTTACAGCCCAGGCAGGATAAGAGAAGAAATAAAGAGTTAGAAATAAACCTTTTAAACTACTAAATTTTAGCTAATCTATACTTGTGGAAATCCTCTGGTCTGCACATCAGTAGGTATTAATACTTACTTTGAACTGCAGATTTGTATAGTATTAGTTTAAGTGGCCCCAGTAATCCAGGGACTTCAGTGAGAGGATTCCAGTTCCTATTGCTTGTAAAAGCAAAAGCAGTTCCTGAGCAATAAGCAATAGGTGTGACCAAATGGGATTAGCAGGTCACGCGGCAGCCTCCTTACTTCCAGCCTCCCCCTCCACCAAAACCTGATCTGACAACCACGCCAGACAAATGATTGTCTCCCATTTTTCCCCTTTACCTTTGTGTAAATTCCCCCCATACTCGGATGTCTGAGGTGCCTGGGCTGATCTAATCATCCCAAGAATGATGCCTTTCAGTAGATTTCTGCAGTTCTTACATCATGTGACATAAGCAAAATTGTGCTCCACACGAGGACTCCGTGCCTCCGGCGTGCACGTCTGCACGCGTTACCGGTGTGGGTCCTGCAACGTGAAATAGTTTGACCTGCAGTAGGGAAGAAGGAAAAATAATTTGTTAAAGAAACACTGAGTGCTTTGGCCTCACCTTTCAGATCCACTTGGCAGTTATTTTTTAGGATCCATTAAAAGTTTCCAAATCTTGTTGGCGAAGAAACTTATCTGACAGAGCCACCCTCTGCCAGAACGAGCAGGTTCACCTCCTGCCAAGGATATAAACACTCCTGAACTTTGGAAAAGTTCGGATGCCATCTGAATGCTGAGGCTAGGGCCTCATCTCTTTGTTTGCTGATCCCACTGATGCTGCTCAGCTGTGTATCCGTTGCCAAAGAGATAGCATGATTTCTATTGTGAGTCTAGCTAAATTTTCTACTCCCTTGTCCCCCGTCACTGACCTCTCAGTTCATCTGATAACAATAGAAGTCAGTGTACAAGTGTGACGGTGCCCTGAGATCTGAATGTGCTTTTTATATCGCAGCAACATGGTGTGTTTCCAGGGCTTTAAGCAGAGGAGAGAGGGAAAACAGGGGCATCGCCCAAAACTCGGGGAGAGCCTGGAGCCAGCATCTTGCAGAGCGGCAACGAGACCGACTCTGGCGGCCGCGGCTCGCGCGCCCGCAGGAGCTCGGCAGGACGCGGGACCCTCCGCCTCCCCAGGAGCCAG